GGGCTTCTATGAGGCTTCCGTAAGGTATATAGACCTTCTATAAGGCTCCTCAAACGGTAACTACCCCACCTGAAAATGTCCTAGAATTGTGGCCTGAGGGCCGTTGGTGCTTGCAGCTTCGAGTGCGAGCTTAAGGCTTGAGGGCTTCTCGGGTTTAGGGTTCAGTGTCACAGCTCAGATTCAAGGGCAGCTCATCATGATCCTCCGCGAACTGTTCATCAGGTACTTGGGACCGTCACGGGGGAGGGGGGGGGGGTTCTAGCAGCGACTGAATCACTTGGGCTTATGGTTTGGGGTCTACGGCTGAGGTGCAGGTAAGCCTGAAACCGTAAAGTTCAGGTTTGACAGCACTAAACCCTAGGCCCTAGACCGTAAAGTTTAGGGTTTTCACTAAAATGTAGACTTTAAGCACACAGCCCGAGCGGCCACTTCCCACTTCACACGCCGATACGATGCGATCACGCCTCTGAGGTCGCGATGCCTGGGATGTAGGTTAAGGGTTTAGGGTTTAGGGGGTTGAGGGTTTTGGGTTTAGACGGGTTCTGTGAAGGGATCTATAAGGGTGGGGCTCCTGTAAGGGTTCTACACCGGTACATACCGGTTCTCTGAGATCTTGGGCTTTGAGGGCTTTGGGTTCAGGACCGTGTTTGAGTCTAGGGTCTTTGGGTCCGGGGTTGAGGATTTATGGTTTTCTTAAGGGTTTAGGGTTTAGGGGCCTTGCGGCTTTGAGGATGTAGACGTCTTTGGGCTTCGGGGTTTTGGATGGGAAAACCGCATTGTGGGGATGTGGGCTGTCGCGCTTTGCATGGAAGCTGTATACTAGGTTCCCCAGTAACTCCTCAATAATGAAGATACCTGTTTTCCTGATATTATTTGGTTTTAAAAAATGAGGTGTTAAATAAGGTGAACCAAAAATAAAACAGGGTTGAAGGGTACACTGGGGGAACCTAATATACCTGAAAACCTACTGAAACATGGACTAGGGCCCCTAATATCCTACGAGAACCAATAAACATGGCTGCCGTTTTGATATGGGGTAGCTTGAAAGGGAACCCAAGACCACAAAAAGGGAAAAAGAGGTCAATGGGAGACCTAGTGCAGGTTGCTTTTCGGGGTATCTGAACACTATGCCCGCAGCCTCTGCAAGGCACCTAATATCGGGGCCTTTAATTAGAATAGGGTTGTGGTGTATATTATTATACTGTAATTATAATAAGGAAACCCCTAAACCCTAAACCCTAAACCCACAATAGTAAAGGTAATTACTAAGGCCCCTATACTACCCGCCCGTCTGTCGGCCTGCAGAGAGGGGAGAGGAGCTTAGGCTTTAAGAGAGGAAGGTTTTGGGGGTTTCGGGTTTAGGGTTTCGGGGTTTAGGGTTTAGGAGTTTAGGGTTTAGGGTTTGGAGTTTAGGGGTTTAGGGGTTGAAGGCGGGAGAGGGAGACAGAAATGGAGAGACAAAGAGAGAGAGAGAGACCCCATCTCAAGCCTGGCTAAGCCATGGAAAAACTCCTTCAAACAAACCCCGCCAAAAAAAAAAAACACAGTTCTGTCAGGGCTGCGTCAGCACCACGTATTTTGCCAGGTGAACGAACTCGCTGTACCCAGGCTGCCACTCCTGATCCCGCTCCGTTAGGGCGTGAACCAGCTACATAAGTAATAAGGTTGATGGACACAACCGGTTTAGGCTCAGGGAAGACTCTGCTGTAGCCAGAATCAGGAATATCACCCCTAAACCCTAAACCCTAAACCCAAACGATACCCTGAACTCCCACAACTTGGGGGTGCTTTAAGGCAATGCAGGTTTGGGCCATCAGCAACGGTACACGGAAGCCAAGCCTTCTCTGCCGGTTCCCTGCACCCTGAACTCCAAACCCTAAACCCTAAATTTTAAACTCTGAACCCTAAACCCTAAACCCTAAACCCTAAACTCTGAACCCTAAACCCTAAACCCTGAACTCTGAACCCTAAACCGGTTCAGGAGTTTGGGTTTAGGCCTCGGGTTTCCGGCTCCAGGGTCTTGGTTTGGGGTGCCAAACCCTAAACCCTAAACCCTAAACCGTGGGAACATACCCTGCACAACACATGGGCGGTTCTCTAAATTAGCGTTCCTTTTTTTGATCCCCAAGATAGTACGGCACGCTAATAAAAGGGCCGTGAATGGGGCCCTAGTTTAGAGAACTACCCACATGGCATAAATCCTTGCAAACCCTAAACCCTAAACCCTACAGCCTGGACCCATCCAGCGCTTACCTCATAAGCACACCCCTAAACTCTAAACCCTAAACCCTGAACCCTGAACCCTGAACCCTAAACCCTAAACCCTAAACCCTAAACCCTGAACCCTAAACCCTAAACCCCAAACCAAAACCCTGGACCCGGAAACCTGAGGCCTAAACCCAAACTCCTGAACCGGTTTTGAGTTTTAGGGCTTAGGGACCTAAAGCCTCAAATCCCTAAACCTACTGTGAACCCTACATACAGAACCTTGAATTTAGCC